TAACCCAATCTGTATAAAACATAGAAAGAAGACTCAGAAAGAAAGAACAAAGCCTACAAGAGATGTGCAATTATTTCAAGAGGTCAAACCTATACCTGATTGGTATCCCAAAAGAAGAAAGGGAAATGGAGAACAACTTGGAGCAAGTATTCCAGGAGGTAATCCAATAAAACTTTCCCCATCTTGCCAGAGATGTGACCAGCCAAACACAAGATATACAGAGAACCCCCACAAAACATCAAATGAGAAGACCATGCCCTAGACACATAGTAATTGACCTACATAAAGTAGGCACAAAAGAAAAATCCTAAAGGTAGCAAGAGAGAAAGGTCAGACTACCTACCAGGGAAACCAATCAGAATAGCAGCAGTTCTATTGGCAGAAACACTACAAGCAAGAAGGGACTGGAGCCCTATATTTGAAGTCCTCAAAGATAAACAATTTCAACCAAGAATTTTCTATCCAGCCAAACTCAGCTTCAACAATGATGGAGAAATAAAATCCTTCCCAGACATCCAATCCCTAAGAGATTAACCAGCTTCCAGACCATTTCTATAGGAGACACTTAAAAAGGTACTAAATACTGAAGAAAGAAAAAAAGGAATGACCACATACTTCCCAAGACAACAGCAGAGCACAGAATCAACAGAGAATACAGCACAACAAGAAACTTGAAAACACACAGATACATCAACCCCAAAGCCAAAAGAATACAATCAAACAAAGAAAAAACTTTATAAGAACCTCATGCCAGGCTCAGTGGCTCAGCCTGTAATCCCAGCACTTTGGGAAGCCGAGGCCAGTGGATTGCCTGAGTCCACGGGTTCAAGACCCACCTGGGCAACTTGGTGATAATTCGTCTCTAAAATAAATCAAAAATTAGCCGGGTGTGGTGGTGGGCACCTGTAGTTCTGGCAACTTGGAAGGCTGATGTGGAAGGATCACTGGAGCCCAGCAAGTTGAGGCCGCGGTGGCCGGGAGGGTGCCACTGCACTCCAGTCTTGGCAACAGAGTGAGACTCTAACTCAAAAAAAAAGAGAGAGACTCCAACCCTCCCCCCCCAAAAAGAGACTCCAACTCAAAAAAAAAAAAAAGAACCTCATGACAGGGATAAACAATCACATTTCCAATAATCAGTTTGAATGTGAATGGACTAAATGCACCACCGAAAAGACACAAAATGGCAAACTGGATAAGAAACCATGACCCAATTATTGGCTGCATCCAGGAGACTCATTTCACTATAAGAAATAAGACAAATGGGACCTCATCAAACTAACAAACTTCTGCAAAGCAAAAGAAACCATCAAGAGAGTTAGGAGAAAGCCCACAGAATGGGAAAAAATATTTGCCAACTATATATCTGACAAAGTTCTAACATCTAGGATCTACAAGGAACTCACAAGCACCAAAGGAAAAAAGCAAACAGCTCCATTCAAAAGTGGGCAAAAGCATCAATAGTCACTTCTCAAAAGTAGATATATGGGCAGCCAACAGACACATGAAAAGGTGCTCAGCCTCACTCATCATCAGAGAAATGCAAATTAATACCACATTGAGATACCACCTAACCCCTGAAAGAATGGCCATCATTAATAAAACAAACAACAGCAGATACTGGCGAGGATGTGGAGAAAAAGGACCGCTTCTACACTGCTGGTAGGAATGCAAACTAGTGCTACCTCTTTGGAAGACAGTGTGGTGATTTCTGAAAAAACTAGAAATTGACCTTCCATATGACCTAGCAATTCCCCTTTTGGGAATATACCTGGAGGAACTCAAATCATTCTACAAAAAAGATACCGGCACATGTATGTTTGTTGCAGCTCTATTCACAATAGCAAAAACATGGAGCCAACCATGTTGCCCATCGAAGCTGGACTGGATAAAAAAAATGTGGTGCATATGCACAATGGAATATTATGCAGCCATAAAAAGGACAAACATATGAACTTTTCAGCAACTTGGATAGATTCAGCATCAATCATACTCAGTGATCTATTACCGAGACAAAGAACAGACTACCATATGTTTTCACTCATAAGTGGTCCTTGAACAATTATTATAATACTATAAGGAAAGGATTGGCAGTAGTGATAAACTGTCAGGGGAGGGAGAGGCATATCTCATCAACAAGGTTACCTGCATAATCAATATTTGTATATCCAACCCTGAATTGTACCTCACATCTTTATAGTAAAAAAATAAAAATAAATAATAAATAATAAAAAAGCACTAGACAAAATCCAGAATGAATTCCTGATTTAAAAGAAAAACAAACTCTGCAAACAAGGCATAGAAGGAAATTTCTTCAGTCACATAAAGAGCATTTACAAAAAATATATGGGTAACACCATCATATTTATGGTGAAATATTGTAAACAATTTCCCTAAGATCAAAAGCAAGATGTCTACTGTCACTACTTTTATTCAGCATTATATTAGAAGTTCTATCCAATTCAACAAGTCAAGGAAACAAAGTAAAATGCATCCAACCTTGAGAAAAGAAGTGAGAATATTTTATTTGCTGACAGCATGGGCTTCTATATAGAAAATTAAATGTAATTCACAAAAATGCTACTAGATTTATTAAGTAAATTTAGCAAGGTTGTAGGATAAAATATCAAATTACAAAAATCTCCTTCATGCTTACATACTAGTGTGTATTGAACTAAGCTTACAGTTGCCTCCATACATAGCAAAAGGTAACCTCACATAATGTCTAAAGAAACTACAAAACTGTAGCCTGTCATACTATTTCTGTATGCCATTTCCATTTTTCTGGTTATAAATATTTTCTGCACACGTTGTAGAATAAAGTTCTCTGAAATACTCTTGATCCTGAATTCTACCTGGTTCTTTATCATTTTTCTGTTCAATTATAGTCTGCTAAAATTCACTTGTCTCAACTTTCTTTCTTTAACATTGGCAGAAAACATTTGAAAAATTGTATGTTTACGTGTATGTGTGTGTGTGTGTGTGAGAGAGAGAGAGAGAGAGAGAGAGACAGAGAAACACACAGAGAGAAACACAGAGTTACCACTTTATCAGAAATTTTTAAAAGGACATCACTACTTATGTTCTAAGTATTATACATTTAAATCTAAATGTGGAAAACTAAAACAATGAATATCTAGAAGTTAATGGAAGGGAAAACATCTTTATGACTTTGTGAAAGGCATTTTTTGGGAAAGCACACACACACGTGCGCGCGCGCACACACACACACACACACACACACACACACACACACACACACACCAGAAAGCCCAACTATAAAGAGAAAAAACTGATAATTTGTTGTACTTCAAAATTTAGAACTTTTTTTTTCAACACTGCCAATGGAAGTGAAAAATTTTTTAAAAGTGAGTTAGGATATAAGAAAATGCAATTATCTCATCAAAGAATTTGTATCTAGATTATATGGTTGATTTTTTCCTTAATAGTAATAAAAAGGAAAAGGGCAGAAGACTTAAATAGATGCCTCAGAAAAAAAACACATCTACATGGGAAGCAAGCCATGTACACAGGCTACACATAACCGATCATCAGGAAAATACAAAGTAAGGCCATAATGAGACAGCAACAGACAACTACTAGTATAGCTAAAACTAAATATTTTGTCTATATTTTGTGTTGCTACAGATGTGTGGATTAATCAAGAGAAATCTGTACATGCATATGCAATAAAAGACTCGTAAGCGACTGTGACTAGTAACACTGTTTTAATTACTGGAAACTGGCAACACCTGTCCATCAACAGTACCATGGATAAATTGTGGAATGTGTATTTACACATAATGGTATGCCTTTGATCATTGTTTCTCAGATGTTAGAATTAATCAGATTACATGGGGATCTTTTTAAAGTTCAGATTTCTGAGCCCATACCTATAATATCTGATGCAATAGGTCTGAATGAGGCCAGAGAATCTGTATGTCTATTGAGCAGTTTTTGCTCACACTTTGGGATTCAGCAAACTACAGTAAAGAAAACAAAGCAAAAAAAAAAAAAAAAAAATAGCAAGCACAGTAGAGATAGATCTCACAAGTATTAAGTGGAATGAAATAAGCCAAATATTCAAGAATATATACTTTATGATTACAGACAAAACATTCAGACTAATTTATGATAATAAGCTGGGCTCGGTGGCTCAGCCTGTAATCCCAGCACTTTGGGAGGCCAAGCAAGTGGATTGCCTGAGCCCAAGGGTTCCAGACCAGCCTGGGCAATTTGGCGAGATCCTGTTTCTGCAGTAAATCAAAATATAGCCAGGTGCGGTAGTGCGCGTCTATAGTTCCAGCTACTTGGAAGGCTGAGGCAGAAGGATTGCTGGAGCCCAGCAGATTGAGGCTGCAGTGGCCGGGAGCATGCCACTGCACTACAGTCTGGGTGACAGAGCGAGACTCCAACTCAAAAAAAAAAAAAATGATAATATTCAGATGAGTGGTTTTCTTTTAAAACACAACAGAACCTTTGGAGTCCTGATAATGTCCTATTTCTTCATCTGGGCCCTTGTTTCATGGGTATGCTCACTTTATTGAAATTCATCAAGTTGTATACAGAGAATTTATGGATTCTTCTTTCTAAGTCATTTACGTAAAAAAATTTTTTTATTTGGAAAAGCCTAAAATTAATTCAAATATGTATGTAATTATATGTAGTTTATAACTTGTAACTGATTATAAATCCATATTTGTATAATGCAATTATGCTAAACTATAAAGAAGCATTTCTGAGATTATTTGGATTTCTACTGTTTAAAAGTAGATGACAGTGCATCAAAGGATTTAGAAGGAGTATCAGACATGTTTGAGAAAATTGGACAGGTTCTCAGTGCTTGGGCGTTGAGTATAATCCTTATCCACAGCATTGGGATATAGGAACCATAGTATTATTTTTGCAATGACTTATGCAGGGGTTGAAACTCCTCATCTTGTGCTTCTGTATAATTGGAAAAATAATACAGGTAAGAATTATTTGTCCTAAAAATGTTCTACCTTGCAGTCATTCTTCCAAAATGAAGATGGGAGAAGTTGAACAGGCAGGTGTGTCTTCACTAATCGAGGAGACTGCATGTTTTTCAACTGCTCGACACCTACAATCACAAAAATTAGCAAACTGTGTTACAGATGTATTGTAGAAATGTAAACGTCATTTACAATAAAATCTAACATCTTCTGTAACCCACTACATGTCTTGAAGTGGCTATATGACTTCAGACACTCTTGAAATATATAATGATATTTAAAATGATAAACTCTGGTTAGCTGTGCTGTGTTATGCCTATTAGCATCACGTAACTATTCTCTTCGTAAGTGTATTTAGAATTCTCAAATATAACACCTTAATAAGGCAAAAAAAAAGCAGTAGACTAAGAGTTGTGTTGTTCGGATTTTTTATTCATTTATATTTCTCTTTTTCTCATTTTCTCATTTACAATATGGAAATTGAACTAGAAGATTTCAACACTCCTGTTCAGCTCTCCATATTCAGATTATTATCATTTCTTTTTTTGGAGTCAGAGTCTCACTTTGTCATTCATGCTGGAGTGCAGGGGCACACTAATGGCCACTGCAGCCTCCACCTATTGGGCTCAGGTGATCCTTCCACCTCACCCAATAATTCTTTTGATTTCTTGTAGAGCCAAGGTCTTGCCAAATTGCCCAGGCTGGTCTCGAATCCCTGGGCTCAGGCAATCCTTTCACCTCTGCCTCCCAAACATATTCAAATTCTAAGATCAAATTAAGCTATAAGTAAGCCTGGCACAGTGGTGTGTGCCTGTAGTTTCAGCTACTCAGGAGGAACACTTGAGCCCAGGAGTTTAAGACTACAGTAAGCTATGATCATGTCATTGCACTCTAGTCTGGGCAGCAGAGTGAAACCCTGGCTCAAAAACAAACAAACAAAAATTAAGACAAGATTTTCAAGGTTATTTTGTAGAGTTTAATAATGCAATCCATATATTTTCATATGCTTTCACTTGAGTTGGAAAATATTAGATAACAAGTGGTACATATGATTCTAAATTGAATCAAACACTGAATTTTCTCTATATAATGAAAACTCAATATTTAAATCTCAAAAACTTCTACGTCTTTTTTTTTTAAGTTGGAGTGCAGTGGTACATTCATGGCCACTCCAACGTACACCTCCTGGGGTCCGGCGATCCTTCTACCTCAGTCTTCCAAGTAGCTGGAACTACAGGCATGCACTACCACGCCTGGCTAATTTTTTGATTTATTATAGAGATGAAGTCTCGCCAAGTTGCTGGGGCTGGTCTCGAACCTGCGGGCTCAAGCAATTCACTCACCTCGGCCTCCCAAAGTGCTGGGATTACAGGCTGAGCCCCTGAGCCCAGCCTACATGTCTTTTAAAGAAAAAGATATATATCACATATATCAAAATCTTCTCTTATATAGATATTATCCTTGAGTGAAGAAAGGGAATAATATGGTTTTTGGCATAGCCAAATTTCGGCTCTTCTATTTTAGATGCTTATGATTCAACTGCCTGGGCTTGGCTTATATTATCTTCTATCATGACTTCTTCAAATGTCACAGGAATTAACTCGCATTAGTAAAAAAGAACTTTCAGGAAAAATACCATTTGTGAGTCCAGGAATTATGAGTTCCATGAAAGGTACTCTGTTGTATATTGCATCCCGTTTACATTTCTCTGCATCCCCATTGTTATAAATCAAATCCAATATTTCACTTATCCAGGTCGTTCCTATGGGGAAAAAATGTGAACTTTTTTTATTGAAAAGTATATAAGAGGATAAACAGAGGTAGAGATGTTGCATAACAATATCTAACACAAACATGTGCTTTTTATTTTTACTTCCTTTCTCTCTTCTCTTTCCCAGAAGTTATCTTTAGTTATCTTCAACATACATATATAACTGTTGTCTATGAAATCAGATTAAAATATCATGCAAATATGACTCAAAAAAGAAGTAAAATAAGGAGTATTAAGGAGAAAATATGTAAGTGATGATAGCTCACCCTCTTGGGTAAAACAAGTGGGAAAAGCAACCAACTTTGAGTCTCAATATCAATTTGAACATTTCCTATTAACATAAAAAATTATTGAAAGAAATGCAAATTTAGCTACTTTGTATGCTTTTTTAATAGTAAAAAACCCTTGGCAGTAAATTGTGTTTCAGTTACAAATGTTCCACATTTCGTTGAGGGGTAAAGAAGAAAAACAAAAAGAACTATGATATTTCCTATGTGGTGACCAGTGTGCCACTCATAAACAAAAGATAATAGTTCCTGATTGAGTAGAGTGGATCAAACTACTCTGATTTTATGATATTGTGTCTCCCCAATCTTTTGAGAAATGGATCAAAAGCATATGAGGCTACAGTGTACTTAATTGTCTATTACATTCAATAATCAGGTTATTGAGGCACTGCTAAAAAATAATTATAAGACACAGGAAAAAAAAAAAAAGTTCCCATTCCCTTCCTCTTTACCAAAGGTGTGATGGTAAGTTAAATGATAGTTCGTGGAACTAAAAAAAAATTAAGTTAATTAATTAACCAATTAATTAAGCCATGCACACAGCAGCATTTTTAAAGAATGGCCTGCATGTGAATGCATATTTCAGTTGGTTCCAAGATCCTTTCAGCCTCTTTTTTAGTCTTTTCTTTTGATCAACTCTCTTGTTCCTAAATCATAAATCAGCCTGTATTAGGCAATGTTCCCTATCCTACCACATATAATTGTAATACTAAAAAAACAGATAATGAAATCAATACTATCCTTGAACTTTTTAACTGAGCCAGCTTAGGCAAAAGCAATGATTCATTTAAAAAGGGGGAGGGGAGAGGGGGACCTAAATTCCAAAGTACAATGTAACCCATTTACTTTCCTAACAGTGAGTAGTGCACATCGTGGTCCTTGAAATTCATTGAAAGAAATACCAATTTAGCTGTTTTGTATGCTTTTTAATGAAAAAATTTATTTTCCATGATTTGGGAAAACAAAAAAGGAAGAGCACATGGTTTGGCTCCCCTAAAGAGATAGTTAACTTGGATCTTATGTAACAAAATTCACAAGGAACTGATGTATTAGTAACTTTAAGCATGTCCTCAACATGTTGAAAGGAACAACAAAAACTTACCAAAGAGCATGTGATTAAATCATGCATCACCATCTAGCTTTTACTCTGTCAGAAGAAATTCAGCTTCCATAAGCATCTCTGTATATGAGCTATTTGCACAACAGTACCTTCCAAAGGTTATCTGAGTGGTTTCCTTCTTTCAAGTATATCCAAAGATAGCATAATCAAAGGAACTTATACATTCTGAGTGATTGCCTTCCCTTCTCTAAATGCTCATTTGAAAAATGAAATGCAAAGTGGTTTTGGCTAGACAATTTGAATGTGGTAAGCTACTCAGAGAGCAACATATAATATAAGAAAAGCAAAATTCTTTGTCAGAGTAATCATGTTTTTAAAATTCGTACAGAGGTCTGTAGTGTGTATTTGTTTGCTTCCTATTAGAAGGCTCTGTTCTCATGCGGTGTTTATGATTTTGGCAAATTAGAATTCTTCCAATTCAGGACTTTCTTCCCAGGATCTGTTATACATTACTTTGAAATATATATATATATATAATAGAGATGTAGGGTACAAGTCAGGCTTCACTATACAAGTAGGCTGCATGCAGGTGAAGTTTTTGCCTCCAACTGACCCTCACTTCCCCTCACTTCACAACCAGGTGCCCTTTGTGTTGTTACCTATCCCCCTCCTGAAATAATTTTGATATGTATATTATAAAAAGATCAATAGTCAATATACTTGTTTAAAAGCTTCTTTTTTTAAGGAATGAAGTAGGAATATGAATAGAAGTTGACTTGAGGGGGTTTAGTGTTTATGGAACAGTTGACTGGTTGTGGGCTGAAGGAATTCAAGTGGACAAGACTGAGAGCCTTATCTCTATTATTTCTCTGTACTTCTATCACTGGGAAATCAGAAGACTCTCACAAGTAAATATGGAGAAATAAAAGATTTTGACTCCTAGTGAATCATTTTAATTTCTCCTTTCTGAGATTGTATACTGAGGTCAACAGTTTTTGTTTGTTTGTTTGTTTGTTTGTTTGTTTGTCTGAGTTGGAGTCTCACTCTGTCGCCCAGACTGGAGTGCAGTGGCATGCTCCCGGACACTGAAGCCTCGAACTGCTGGACTCCGGTGATCCTCTGCCTCAGCCTTTCAAGTTGCCGGAACTACAGGCACGCGCTACCACACCTGGCTAATTTTTAATTTATTATACAGATGAGGTCTCACCAAGTTGCCCGGGCAGGTCTTGAAACTGCAGGCTCAGGCAATCCACTCACCTCAGTCTCCCAAAGTTCTGGGATTACAGGCTAAGCCATCAAGCCTGGCTATAGCAGTTTTTCAAATGTATAAAGAAAATATTTATATCTATATATTTATAGAATGTATATTCTATGTATGTATAGAATGTATGCATGTATAGAATATATGCAAATTATAGTCTAATGTACCCAAATCACATATACAGTTTTAATCATTTTATTTGAATTTAAAGAGAAAAATCAGGCAACTTCATTATTTTTCTCTTAAATATATTCACCATTTAATTGCTAGCCTTTCAGATTTGAAAGCAAATTTGTCAAATTTAAGACAAAACTCTTCCAGCAACTAACACAGTGTTCCCTCAACAAATGTTTAATAAGTTTGGGTAAGACCTGACTAATAATCTGCAGATAAGTGAATTTAAATATATGGATCACTAGAAAATTATCAAATTCAAATAAATGAAAATATCTTACCAGATTTGGGATAGGTGGAGATCAGAACATCATCTGGTCGAGCCTCAAATGACTGCACCTGAAACCACTCCTCAGCAATGCTCCAGAAGAGGGGAATACCCTGAACGTCCACTAACTCTCTCCTTAAGACATTCAGACTATTGTCCATTTTGGAGAGACTAGAATTTGAACAAAGTGTAGGTCAAATTTAAAAAATCAGTTAATATTTCAGCAGCATCAGATCACAGTACTGTGTATGTGCTCTGTATAACACCAATACATTTGTGCACTGACTTTTATAACATTTCCTCAGGCAGTTTCCTGTGACATGTGATAAAGTTCCTGGACTTTGGAGTCAAGAGAAAAGTGTCTTTATTTCAATGCCACCAGCTCATTGCAGTAGTAATGTAAGTTCCATGACTGCGTTGGATCTCCTTAACTGTACAATCAAGGGTAGCCTAAAACAGTAGTTTCCTTTCTTAAATTACATGGTGGACTGTTAAGTCGTTCTATCTAAATTAGCTATAACAGACCACGAGACTGAGAGAAAATATGCATTGAGTAAGGCAGAGGGCCTAAATGCCAAATGGACCGGGTTAAAGACAGGGTTAAGTGAAGACTTGGAGATATATTGGATATCTTTTTTTTTTTTTTTTTTTTTTGAGTTGGATATCTTGCTCTGAAAAACTTCTTAGCACTAGTTTGTGATTGCCTGATGCTATTTTTCTGTTTTTCAGCAGTGCTCTTAACGAAGGCATTTTTATATGTTTTGTTTTTGTTTTTGTTTTTGTTTTTTGAGGTGGAGTCTCACTCGGTCGCCCAGACTGGAGTGCAGTGGCCGCTCCCGGCCACCGCAGCCTCAACCTGCTGGCCTCTGGCGATCCTCCCACCTCAGCCTTCTAAGCAACCAGAATTACAGGCATGCGCTACCACACCCGGCTGATTTTTTGATTTATTGTAGAGATTAGGTCTCGCTGCCCAGGCGGGTCTCGAACCCGCGGGCTCAGGCAGTCCACTCACCTCAGCCTCCCAAAGGCATGGGATTACAGGCTGAGCCACTGAGCCTGGCTTGTTTTTAACTCACATGTATTAGAAGTGAAAAAAGCTTATAATATATCCCAAGTTCTACCACTAAACATGCCTCCTGACCCACAATTTAGCACAGACTGAGTGATTATGTGTTCCCAAAGTTATAGTTCTAAAGTTCTAGAAAAACAGAGACTATTAATGAGCTCAGTTATAAAGCTTCCTGAGGCTTTGTAGCCACCACACTTCTCTTCAGGAACTATAATCAGAAGTCTTTGGAGTCAACTGATGCATTTTTAACCTATACCTTTTCTGAAGTGCAATTTCTTATCTTAGTTTTCATATTCACTCAACTCTACCCCATCTTATCTCATTCAAAATTTTTTTTATAAGTTTCTGTGAAAGGACATAAGATGGAGTCCATACAGCCAAAGAGCAGCCATTTTAACATTGCTTAGCTTTGTCATGTTTTTCTAGCAGTTCACTTACCATCTAATCACTAGCCAGGTACAGAACCAGTTTCTCAGCAGTCAGACTAGACAGGGACATTTGCAAGCCCATGCCCCACTAAAGATGCAAAGAATTCCACAGAAGTTACATTGAAAAATATATTTATTTATAATATAAACGAGAGAGAGGGAGAGAGAGAGAGAGAAATTTTACCTCCTCAAGTTAGGGGAGGGGGCCAAAGCTTAGAAAACATTGATAATTAATCATTGTTTTTTGTACTAATTAGCTTTTCTAGTCCAAGTATTTGCATAAGAAACAAGCTACCTAATCAACCCTTTGTGAACTTCATAACAAGACTACATCAACACGGATGGCAATAATCATGTGACTAGCCCACCCATCTGCCTGCTATTCAGCACCTGATGTCAGTACCTGTGCTTACCTGTTCCTTCTTGATGACCTGAAACAGACTGCCTCTCAATCACCTTAACAACCTGCTCACATCAAAGGGAAGGTTTGAAAGCATTCCACCTCAAGCAGTCAGCCAATATTGCTTTGCTAAACTCTGGTCAAGTCATGTGGCTCTTTGAGCTATGGCTGCCATGTTTTCTAAGCTTTGGTCCCCCCCATACCTAGGGGAGGTAAGTCTCCTTTCTCTCTCTCTCTCTCTCTCTCTCTCTCTCTCTCTCTCTCTCTCTCTCTCTCTAATTTACATTCTAAATAAACTATATTTTCTGATCTAACTTCTGAGCAATTCTTTACATCTTTCATGCTGCACCAGATTACAGACACTCCCATCTGGTCTGACCTAACATTATGGTTCAATCTGTTTATCAAAAGACAGTATTAAGGCCTGGCATGGTGGCTCACGCCTATAATCCCAGCACTTTGGGAGGCCAAGGTGAGAGGACTGCCTGAGCCCGTGGGTTCTAGACCAGCCTGGGCAACTTGGCAGGATATCATCTCTACAATAAATAAATTAAAAAACTAGTGGGGCATGATGGCACATGCCTGTAGTTCCAGCTACTTGGAAGGCTGAGGCAGAAGGATCACCTGAGCCCAGCAGGTCGAGGCTGCAGTGGTTGGGAA